AGTGCTTTCTTAATGACATTTTGCAATTCACGCTCGTATTGTCTTCGGCTCGACGTGTCTTTTTTATTCCAAAATCGCCCATCACGCGATAACGTTCATTAATTACTCGCATAAATACCGACAGGCGCGTGGGTGTCGTTTACGTCAGATTAACATTCATTCGCGACGTTTTATCGTCGATGCGGCAGAGTTTCGATTATCGATTCCAGGCCAGTTCTCAGTGGCGGTTACGGATACGACATCGCGGATACTATAGTTCGGTCCGCAAATAAAAGGGCATTATTGCAGCTGGACGATAAATGTCGGGCGCGAGTGACGCGCGCGCTCCAAAAGGATTCACATCGCTCGACGATTTGTACTTATCGACCTTTCACGGCGCTTTTATTGATAGTATCATGAACGGGCCCCTTTCAGAATCCCCGTCAACAGTGGACGCTATTGTGCGCGACCGCGCCTGAGATCTAACGTTCTAGTTTCGGCACAGTTGCGCTAAGAATTTCGCAAGATAGCAAGATCAGTGAGGAATGTCACGCGAAATTACGCCGCTCTCTATTTTTGACGTGTGAAATGTTGATACTTGTCCCGCGACAACGTGTTATCCCTTCGCGATAAGCTTATCGCAACCAAACGCTGCGCCCATCTTTTTGCGTCGGTAGCTTTATATTTGTCCGGTTGCCCATATTTTCTGTATTTTGCGATCCTATATCATGTCGGGCAAGAGTTTTATATGTGCACTGCGAATTTTATGTATATTTTTCACTGTAATACTTCGCGAGCTCATCATGCATTGCACGGTAGTTTTCGATGCACATCGGCTCGTGCATCTGAAGCTCTAAAAAATGTATATTTTTCTCTCTGTCTTGCGAAACGTCATTAGCCCTCGTGTATCTGACTTCCACGGCGTTCTTCGATCGCGTGCGTTCGCGCTACTAAATTACATCTTCGCATGGTTCTCGCTAATCTTATAATTAATCACTGACGCGGTATCTCGTTAATTCGTCGCGAATTTTGATGCGACACACCAGTGGCGGCCTTTCATTATCTTAGAGCGCTCATTATTTTCCGGGACGAAGATAACGATAACAGCGGTCGCCGGTTAGAGAGACAGATTGAACTATAGCACCGCGACCTCAATGTAACCGCGGAAATGCAGCCAAGGTCGCGCGTTGCCACTGAATGGCGCATTCAATGTCAATGAAACTCGCGACGCAGCTTTCTTCGGCGAAATCAATGCCAAATTTTGCTGGCAGACCGACCGGCTCGCGAACGCTAGCGTGACGCGAGCAATAAACCGGCGCAGTCTTGCCATGCTAGAGTTCCGCACAGCGTCGTCGCGAGTTGCGTGGGGTGGGACCAACCCTGCCGCATTCACCCTCGCCGTATCCTCCCTTTAAGTTAATGCGTTGGGGCCACGGCAAGAAAAGAGTAACAAAAAGCCACATTTGCCGGGGCCGTCGATACCAAACATAGAAAGATACTCTTGATGGAGCGATAGTATCGAATAGTATCCGCAACGCGAGCCTGGTATCTTGGAAATTGAACTTGATTAAAAGAAGAATTGCCTTCTTTTACCCCACAATACGTTTAATCAAGACTTTTTTTCCTGTGTACAATGTAGCTAATGGATAATTGTGCAAAATGTTTGCTTGGACAAAGGTTTGGAATTACGACGTCACTTTTCAAACATTCGTTTCAATTCTAAAGACACGCGGCTTTTTCAGAGGATTTTTTATCCTTGTTTTTAATATTCAGACGCAGTTAAGCAATTAAAAAATAAGTATGACGTTATTTATATCTTTTTAAAAATATAAATCCCGCTTCAAGTAGAATTTTAAAAGCGACTCGCTGACATTTAAATGTAAATGTTAGAGTTAAAATACTCGAATGTTTAATTTGAACTTATTAAGTGGAATTATTAGCTAGAAAAGGTTTGCTCTTCTCTCGTAATGCTGTAATTTATTTGCAGGTCAAGCTATTCTTGAAAAATAATCATTCTGTAAAAAGAATAATCGCGATAAGCCTGTACTCAGAACTGCCATACGGCTCAATCTTGTCACGCATGACATATTGGTTCGTATTGTTAGCAAAAAGTGTGGTCATACGAAAGGCTGGTATCGATTCTCGCAGTTCAACGGAGTTATGCACGTGAGAGTGCACGAATTGACCGGTCGGCACGCGACATCGCGATCATTGTTGCATGGTCAAGCGTGAATGTCAACCGTCGCGTGGCATTGTTACGAAATCGCTCGGAGAAAGCATGCAGTTCGTATATTTCACATTGATGCACTCAAAACTCGGTTTAGAATCATTGTGGGTTCAACAAGTCTTTATAAAACAACATTCTATTTCATATCAAACTGCACTCGTATTGTAAAAATGCAAATTGCTTTTCGAAGAATTTTTTCTAAATCTCTTTTTGAAATTGTTAGATCTATTTTATTAATAATGTTGAAATTAAAAATCCTTATTTATTTACAATCGTCGAAAAGATTATCAATTTTGTCGCTATACTTTGCACTTTGTACTCTATGCATAAATATATATGTGCATTTTGAGCTGATTGGCGATTAATTATTAGAACGTGATTAGTTTAATTCTATTTGTTACATTTGATTTCGAAATTTCTTTTCGAACGGTCTTAGCTAATAATTTCGTAAGGGTCTTATATGACTTAGACGCATGTTGTAAACACCGTGCCTAACGCGACTTGTAATGCTTGAAGGGCGAAACGACCCTGCTGGTGCACCTGGAGCCGCGTTCCGCGAACGCGTTATCGTCAGCCCCTATCAATGCACCCTGTCCCCCCCAAGACCCTTTTTCGCAGCCGTGCGGCTCTGTTCGCTGTACGCGAAATCGATAGTCCCACAAGCGTGCGTGAGAAGTCGAGCAAAAACCGACGGACGGGACCTGTCCGTAACTTGCGGCGTTTGCAGTGCCTACCGCCTTCCGCATTTACGAAACTCGCATTGTCTCGTGACGTGTGCTTCCCGGAAATTACATGTATTCCGTAGAGCACACGGGGATAAGAATTGAATTAGACCGAGTTGCAGAGAGATATGTTCTCTCGGCGTTGGGCGAAAAGGCGATTTAACGTCGAGTTGTTAAACTCAGAACTAAATGCGAGTTTACCGTCGCGCATCGCTGAACGTGTCAGTGAAACATTGTATCTTGTCGCTTGGCATATATGTTGCAATCATAATAATTAGGCCCGTCGCATAAATGCTACAACGTTATAATGCTACAATGCTATAATTATAAGCTGATAGTTACAACTTATAAACGTAATTATAAACTCAGAAGGCTTTATATTATAAGAGATTGTAATAATACAACTATAGAGTCGGCTGTAAAATAGATTCTTTTCACGAGCGGCACGAGCCGGGGATAATTGGATGAGCACGGTGGCATCGATGCATTAGGAAAACGCGGCGCATCTGCCACGCGGAGAATTACGTTCCTAGTGCAAAGGTTAATCCCGTAGCCCACCCTCTCTCAATTCCCGTTCTGCGCTAATTAGGGATTGGTGTAATAGGGTGACTTTAGATCAACTTGTCTGTCATCTAGAGCTACGCTTTGTATGATATAATCGCCATTAGCTCTTCATAATTCTGATTTCCGATAGCATTACTCTGAGACGCGGTATAATTGAATCTACACGGGGAAAATTTTATATCAAAAGTTACTATGCACGGCAGTAACCGGCAAAACCAAAATTTTTACCATGTTTCGCATGTGAAAAACATAATAAAATTTTTTATAACTCCTTCCGCGGCTACTATCGTACATAGTAATTTTTGATATAAAATTTTCTCCGTGTACGAAAAGAGCGATTCCACAAAATTAAATCTTTATATTTACGTGCAAATAAACTTTTTTGTAAATTGAAATTACATTGATGACATCGAACGAATGACCTTCATAAATGACTCGTCATAAAAAATTTCGACATATTTGTAATTAATATTTAATAGCACACATCTGGCAAGATTTTATAATGGCGCGACTGCTGATTACTTTCATTGCGTCAGCTTTTTGATCTAACAGGTCACAAACATTACGCTACGGTGTTTACGTATGGGATTGCAAATGAGACTTTTAATACGGCATTTTAGCATACAATGATGGGAGTTAATTAATTAATCATGGATCTGGTGAGGCTTAGGCGATTCGGTCACGATGTCATATGACGAAAGATCGCTCATCGACTCGCTTGTCGTTTATTTTTGTTTTAAAAATTATTACGTATTGTTTTTTGTTACGGTTTCCAGCTAGAAAATCAATGATGACTGTAGAATGGTCAACATTCAGAGGTTTTGTTGCATTTGGATTTATTGGTTACGATATTAAACCATAAATTGCAAGTATGTTTCTAATGTCTTCATAAATTGCACACCGGTATGTATATAGGGTGTCCCAGACCAATCCATTAATATTATATTTCTAAAATCATTTAAAAATAAAAATTTTTATAGCAAAAATGTCGAAGCTACAGTAATTTTTAAATGCGATGTGAGATTGATCAAGATTATTAAAATTTCAAGCATTCAGGCATAGTCGTATATTGATTTACCATGAAAAACTTAAAAAGTCCAGTAAACGCGTGAAATTTTGACATTTTAATTGGTTAACTTTAAACACTTTTCATTTTTAAGAACTGTTGTAGCCTCGACATTTTGAGATAAAGATTTTTGTCTTCAAATAACCTCCGAACTGCTATTAACGGGTGATCCCAGACACCTTGTATAAATTATGATTTTATCTCTCATTGTTTGATAATGAGAGAAATATAGAAATAAAACAAAAGAAAATATGTTTTCTAAAATGAAAAATAGTCATTGAATATCTTGCAGCTATCTAGCTTGTAGCTATAAAAGTTATAAGTTTATCGATTAACAAGCTTCAATCCATTGCAATTAGGATAATAATGCGCTAGAAAATATACATAGAAATAAAATGGATATATTTTAATGATAAAATTGTCAAAATGTTTTTGAACGTACCACTTGAGACCATCAATATCCTTATCACCATCAGCAAGGACAACAGTAGAGTCGTGAACTACAATCTAGGGCTCTGCATGATGGATGACGCACGTTCGTCGTTCGATCAATTGCAAAGATCACTCTGACATAGTCGTCACTACGTCTCGAAATTCCACCGGTTCGGTGAAGAAATTTTTCTTCCACAACAATGCACCGTCGTTTTTCACATGCGTTTCTCTATCTGTGAACTTTAAATTTAACTATCGACGCGAAAGTCGAATCGAGACGTTTAAAAGGATGTCGAGATCACATAAAAATATGTTTACATCTGAATTTATCTGAATGTATTACAAGGCCGCGGATTTGGAATAGCATTTTTAATCCCGCATTCGACTCGTGTAGATTAAAAATGGAAATAATAATATATTCGTTGTGTGACTAACGTGACATTGATCAAACTTTGCATTGATTAGGCTCCGTTTTCCTTATTAGTTTCTTATGGTTTGTTAATTTATTGCGCCTCTGATACTGACGAGATTTTTCAAAATACAGTCTATATGTTAAATAAAATAATATTTTATTAAAATTACAGTCGACAAAACGATGAAATATAATCGCGTCGGACAATTGTTGCTTCGCGAAATAAAACGCGACACGGAGTTCATAAAAAAAAGAAAGAAAAAAATAGAACGACCAATTGATTTTCGTGAATGCTAAATGAAAGTGTTTCTGCGTTTTGGCGCAGAGATATACAGGGTGCCCCGTCGAGGAATGTCAATATTTTCGGAGATAATAGCGGTGACGATCTTGGGTAAAGAGAACTGGATAAATATGCATGCAGTTCTTGCACATTGTGGATAAAGAGAAGATAGAAGTCTTTTTCTTATAAAAAATTTAATATACAAATTAATTGTGCAAGATAAAACACTGTTGTTTATCACTTACAAAAAATTTTTAAATATATTTCAAGTTTCGTGGAATCTCCTTTTATTTGTACGTAATTGCGCAAGTGTTTACATTTATCCTGTCATTTAGGAGAATATTGGCATTTCCTTACGGTGCATCTTGTAAATATCGCCGATGCATCTTTACGCAGTTGTAAAAACGGAAGCTGCGTGATCGGTCATTTTTTGCAGCGAAATCGCGACAAAAATTAATATTAATAACAGAAACAGCATTCAATTAGCATTAAATCCGATATTACACAGTACCTCCACGCGAAATTCGCTATACTTTCGCTTTCGGCCGAGCAACAACCGGAGCAACATCGAGCGACGCAGATCTCGGACGACTGAGATGACTTTTTATTGCAATAAGACGGTGTCTCATCTTCCGATATCGCACTTAACGGTTTTGTTTAGAGACATAAATATCGTAGAGAGAAGAGACCGTATCCGGACGTCGCGACGTTACGGCATTGCAGCCGATACTAAAGCGATGTCGGGACGCCCGCCGTTATCGGACACAATTTTCCACGCGTGCGCACGTGCCCCCCTGGCACTGGGGGCGGCTGAAACAACGTAGGGTAACGCGGGGCGCCGCGGGGTGACGTGGGGTGACAACGTCGAGGGAATCCCCTATGGCCGCACTGGGAATAGGCGCGACTCCTCTTTTGCACATTGTTACGTACTTTGATAATTACCGCCTCAACATGCAGTAATCACTTCGTTGTAAGATTTTAGAAAGTGCGGGTGCCCGAGTTTACGTGTTTCGATTTAAAGTAGAAACAATTGGATTAAAAGCATGTAGGATTATTTAGTTACTTTGGATTTGTTTTAAGAATTAATTATCTTGATATAACAAGTGAAAATTTATAAGCAAATCTAAATCAAATTAAATAGCAAGTAAAATAAAAGTTTAGGATATAAATACGTAAAATAATTAATGTATTATGAAGTGCATTATTTATGATATAAATAAATGAGTTGAGCTTATATAAAAAATTGCCAAGGTAAGAATACGTTTAAGATGATAGATAATATATTTTCTCGCAATTATTTTGAATTGAGATTATTTATAATTAATCTTGAATAAAATTACGAAATAAGCAAATTATTACAAATTCATTTATCGAAAAAATACCTAAGGTATTTAAATGTAAAAGGATGCTATATTTTTAAAACAAGTTTTTCTGTCAACTCATAAATTACCATTTTATTGAATTTCTCGCATTTTCGGCCACTCTTTATATTTATTTCATTTATTCCATTCTTTATATTATTTCACAAGTAGCAAACGGTTTCGTATCGATCGCAACTGTCTCATCTGCGATAAGTTGCATTATTCGTCGTTTCTTTTAATTTAATTAGCATATTGATTTGACTACAGGTTCGTTCCGTTTCCACTTGATCTCGTAAATTCGAGCACTCGTGAAATCGCAGAAGCCAGTGTGCTCTTCAGTGTACCGAGTCTGTAGTTAGGGATGAGGGAAATGCTGCTTTTTTCTTTTATTTTTCTTAGCGCAAGCTTAGGCACGTGACACATGTTTGATTTACAGCACGACGTTTAGACGCCGCTCGTTTTTTCAGTTTTACGGACGTTTTATTCGCAACAGAAGACATCTTTATGATTTAGCGCATTTCTCGCCGACGAATACACTTAACTAAATGCTTTTTCTCGCTCAGTGTCGTTCTTATATTTTTTAGAACCCTTTAAGCATCAAAATAATTCGCAGTTTCTGTTATATGTATTATTTTATATATTTATTTTACTCTTACAAAGGATTATAAAGAAAGTAATAGATAAATAATAAGTTCGAGAAACAAATTATACGATAGGCGACATATTTCTTGTGGATATTAAAATTAAAATTTGTTAAATATTTGTTTCTTTAATTTTATAAATTCTGAAAGCTTTTCGCTAATAAGGCTTAAGTTTCTTATGACGATTCCGCGAAGTACGTATTTGTCTCCCGATTTCTTAAGTTTAGAGACGTCACTGCAGTTTTCTCCGTAAGACGTGTGTTTTAGCAAAGATTACGCATCACTGCCTTGCTTACTTGCAAAGTTTGCGTAAAAAGTTAAATCGACCACTGCGTCAGAACCAACGTTTGACGCGTGATTTACAGTTTATGCAACCAAGTTGTCGGTGGTGACCTTTGAGTGATGCATTTGCATTCGCGATATGCATCTTGCCGTCAACGTTGACGAATCGAAAAACCTATGGATATGAAAAATTTAATGCAATTTATCGACGCATTTTATTCTTGAAATGTGTTTACGACAAACTGATATTTGTATTTTGAACATGACAGTACAATGTTAATGAGCTTTCAGACGATAAAAAAATTCTTGCAATTCTTATTAATTTATTATGTTATTTAATTATTTATTTTATTATTGTTTTTAACAATATTAATGCACAAATTAATTTGATGAATGGCGTCACGAGAATTACGTTACGTTTTGCAAGTAACATTAAATTTCTACAATGTACTGGATATATGCAAGGATGTGTCAGCGGAAGTCACGCACTTTTTTCAAATTAGAAATTTTTTCATTACTTTTGCTTTATTATCAGTAAAACATTTTTAAACATGGATATCAAAATAATCTTATTCTTATTAATTTAGTTATGTGGTTGACAAAAAAAAAGATTTCTATAGAGATACCATGTAAATAAAACGCAGGTTATTCTGCTGGGAAAAATAATGTAATGACCAGGTGGATGGTTGATTGATTCTGTATATTCAATGGAACCCTCGCTGTAGCAGAATAGTTGAGAGATTAGAGCCCCCATTGCGCATAATCTACATGTTCCTGTGAGATTCTTGCCATGTGTGTCTACTCCATCTAATTGCATTCCTACGTAGTATGTATATCGCAAAATGAGGTACAATTACAATTAAAAATAGCTTTGCTTTTTAGTAAAAGGATATTAATTATTTACATAAAAGAAATTGTTCATAAAAATTGATGTCTTGATGATCAGATTATCATATTTTTAACGTCTCTCCTTTATGTATCTCCAATTATAATTTTCTTTTCTTCAAAAGTTAAAAGCAAATTAAATTTATATTCATGCTATTTTCAAGTCTATTTTATTGACATAATATATAAGTCTTATAATTAAGAATTAGGTCAGCAGTTTTAATTAATTAATTAAAATTTAAATCTTTCTTCGTTCTTTTAAAAGGGAGATTATAGATACCTTTCACAATTTTCTCTCATTACGCTGTACATTTCAGCATATTCAATACTTGAGTCATCGTTCTAAATATTTGCTTCTTTCCTTTTGTTTATTATGTTCGCTGAGAGCAATATTTCAGAATTAGCGCCCAACATCCATGCAATCTCAATGCTCGACACGCTATCGATTATTATATTTATCGATATAGCGGGCGTAATACTTTATTTGTTGCGACGTCGATGAGAGCGCGAACGATACAATAGATACATTATTGCACCTCTATCTTCCCACGAGCGAGAGACGCTACAGCGATCGCGTCATGAATTTATCTATATGCGCGTTGCACTAACGATAAAGCTTACCCTGTGAAATAGACGTGGAGATTGTAGCATGGTAACGTTGTTTGCCATCTGGTATTACGCTGGTCAAGTCACGGCCTCGCACCATTGCCATATCGGTTAGCAATCCAATTCCATTTCACACATACAGAAAAAATATCACCCATTAGAGAATATCGACTACGGGCACAATTTTTTGTAATAATCTTAAAGTTGATAGTTTCTTAATGAGATTTTCAAATCTTAATTCTTCTAAACGTTCTTCATTCAGCGTTTTATATAACAAAGCTTTGTTAAAATTCAGAATAATGGTAAAATTATATTGCATCATAGACGGAATTATTTTTTCATAAATTTCAAATGCGTAAAAGATAAAAAATGTAAAGATTTGTATAAAACTGCTCGGCCAGTATTATAATTCTATAATGGCAGAGATATAAAATCTCGCCAGAATCGTTTGCGTCATTTTAAATCGCGCGTTTCGTAAAGTGCATGCAAACGCAAATGTTCTAGCTTGAAGAAATATCATATTCGAGAGGAACGTTTCGAGTGTAAGAAAATGGTATACCCCTTGCATTGTAGTAATGGCCGGTCTGGGATAACGCGCGCGAAGGGTGCATTTCAATTGATCCACCGCTATCGCGAGGAGGGTTCGTTGACCAACATTATCGTATATAACAAGGCGCACGCGAAGTCTCGGGGTGCTCTTGTTTCGGGTGTCCTTGCAGAGCAATCACTTTCCCATTAAGGTCGTCGACATCAGTAGTCTTATTCTGATTATATTAATCATAATTGATTTAATATAATATGAACAATGAAAAGTTAATAATTTTTCTCGACCATTTCCAAATTTTAATCGATTAAATAATACATAAATTAATTACGTAATATATGTAAAATTTATAAAATTATACAGCTTTGCAGCAAAAATTTTATTAAATTATCATTTTTCTTTCCCGCAAATTTCTTAACATTCTGTGAAATAAAATTTTGATTAAATATGAAATCTTTCTTATCTTTATTATTAAGAATGACGATATGCTAAAAATTAGATATGTTAATAATATTATTATTAAGCTATGGTTATATAATATATAACTATAGTGTTGTTTTGGATATTATTCTAATATAAATGTATTTATGTTTTACAGATAAACCTTGTGCGTGTAATCGGTGCTACGAAATATATTCGTTTCATCGTAATATAATAAAATGTGCGTCGGGAGTGTCGTTTAAAGTAAGTCGCGCGATTTTCGTATTCGGGTACGCGCGCGAGCAAAGCGTGCGCCGCGAACGCGTGTGAGTCAGTGAGTGCCTCGAAGAACCGCTAAGAGGAAGGCCTAAGGAGGCATCGGACGACAGCAGAGCGATGATACGGTAAGTAATTTATCATAAAAAATGCATTATTTTAGTGATAATGAAGAAAACATACATATGTATGTACGTACTGTACCATCAGTCTTTTGCTCGAAGCAAGAATTTCCCGTGCTTAATGGTCGGAACCGGAATTTCTGAAGGGTCGTTCGTTTATTTTCGCCATTCATTCGACGAACGCATTAAACTGCTCGATTGTCCATGGAAAAATCGATACTTAGGAGATGACTTCTTCTTTCTTATTGTACTTTAATTGCTCTTTTCCGTGATGTCAGGATTTGTCCGCAGTGCTGAGTAGTGTTTTCAATAAACAGAAATTATTTGAGAGTCTTTTACTTTCGTAAATTCATAACATTGTCGAGTTTTCTGTTTGTTTAATGGACGAAAAAGATATGCGATTATTAAATCGACGCTGTCGGTGTAACAAAAATTATATTGCAGGCGGGCGAAATTTTTTGCGGATCACTAAAAGCCCCCGAGGGGTCGTTAGTCTCGCTAATCTCCGACGCTGCGAATATATAGGGTGGATACAAATTATTGTCGAGAACCGTTAATTACTACGCTAAACTA